ATTTTATAACATTTCTGATTTCTTTGTAAGATTCAGGTAAAGAGTTCAGCAGTATGACATCTAAATCTTCATCCTCAAATTTCTTGTCATTGTGAGCCAGACTCTTAACAATTATGCTATAGTCACTCAAATTTCCTTCCACATCCTTCCTCGGGTCAATCTTAAAACTAAACAGCTTCTCTAACAAATATATCTTATTAGGCAAAGTTTTAGTCAAGAACAAGGCATCTAAAGTAGTCCACAGAGTTCTAGCATCTTTAGCATTATCAATTTGTCTAACAACATTATCAGATAAATGCAAAATTATAGAACTACAAGCAATTTCATTCATCTTTTCAATTTCAACAGGTTTAGCCTTTAACTCATCAGAAAAAGTAGCAGGATAATCGAAAGCTTTTGCAACTCTTTGTTGGACCAAAATGGCTCTCATTTTCTGTTTCCATATGGAGTAACCCCATCTTCCCATCGACTTGTGATAATTCGACCCTCGAACCCATTCGAAATTCTATAAAATGGTGGCCTGTACTCGTGGACATAACAGAAAATGTTTTAAATTTTTTTTTCTCAGATGATTAGTATAAAATAGAAACATAGAGTTAAAAATAATATCCAAAAATTGAAGCACAGTAATGAGTCAATCCGATCAAGAAACCTTAGTGTGATGTGTGTCCAGGTGTGATCCAAACTCAGGCAATACACAGGTATATGATACAAGTAAACATGCTTCCAAGATTACAAATCAGTCACAAGAATCCAATCACCAGAATTCATTGACAAGTAATCAGTTAATCATGCATCAATCCAGATAGTCCACCAAGCCATATTCAAAAGGTGAGGTTGGAACGATCTGACCAGTTACTGTTGAAAAACAGTAAATATACCCTCAATCGAGCAAGCCAGCCGAGTCAACAATCACCCAATCCAGTCAGCATATACACAATAAAACAAACACGAGGAATTAATGTCGATTGAAACAAGATGCCAATGTTATATTATCTATTCAAACCTTCCAAGGTTTATATAGATAATATTACCCAAAGGAAAGAACCCAAATAGCAGATTAAAATGGAAAAACACGGCCAAGCCCTAGACCGAAAAGACTCTGATACCAATTTTGTTGGGAAATTTCAGAGTTCGAATTTCAAAACCACAATGTAATCAACATTTACAAAACATAAAGAAACCATAGAAACTGAAAGCAGTAATTAAACCCTTTTCTTATTCCCTTAACTGGCTAAAAAATAGGCTCAGGAACAACCCTTCCATGCGTTGCAAATTGCCATCCAGAAAGAGATAAACAACTGGTCAGAACCTCTCAACACTTGACTTGGGTCATCGATCCAAGGATCTACCAAAAGCTGTCAAGATCAAAGCCACCGAACTTGACCTAAGCCTTCGAGAAAAAACTAACAACTCAACCACTATTTCAGGTCTAAGTAATACACAGATATTTTTCCCTCAACAGGCTTAAATGATCGATTTCAGAGAACACCGGATTTGGAAGAAGAGACGGACCAGAGAGTCAGACCAACAGAGAGAAAAGTGAAGTCCAAAGAAAGGACCGAATGAATTCAAAAGGCATAGCCCAAAGAAAATATCTCATCCAAGAATAGATTCCAACCGTCGATCTCATCCAAGGGCCACAATCAATTCTAAATTAGCACAATCCAAGTGACCACTTAGCTACCAATAAGTGGAAGCCACTTAAGCAGCTTAAGTAAAGAATAAATAACAATGTAAATGTCACAAATGGCACTAGTCAAATGGTGTTAGAGAACCACTTAAACCCATATAAACCTTATGTCAGTTAGTTAAATTTGAATTTAATAAAGAGGATTGGGAAGTTTCTTAAAATTATTCTCTCTTTTTTGGTATTTGTGAACGAAGCAGCAAGTTTAAGTTTTTATTCTTTCGTATAAGCTTTCGATACATCAATTTGACTCGTGGGCCTCATGGATCGAGTTGAGTCATCCACGAGCCCATGAGCTGGCTCTTTTTTTTAAAGAAATAAATAAGAAAAGCTCAAAAGTAAGTCAATTCTAAAAAGAAAAAAAAATTGAACTCAACTCAATCCATAGGTTAATCTCAAATCGAGGTCAAACTATCCACGTGTAAAACATGGATGATCCGAACCTATGAGCCATTCGGTCCATTTGCCACCCTATAAAAAGAAAAATGCCATTAATATATGTGGAGAATAATACGATACAAAATGTAATGTAAATAGAAATTACATGTTTTTAACTTTTGAATTTGGGCATATCGCAGTTTCTCTGAAACTTAGATACTTCTTATGAGATGAAATAAATGATATTAATTCAACTCTTCTAAAATTATAATTGTTAAAAAGA